ACTTTTACTGAAATATTGTACGAATGTTGATAGTATCGAAATGAAACTTGTTATTGAAAAAATGTAAATAATCCCAAAATAGAAAAACATATTATAGATAATTTGAAATACAGAACTTGGGTCAATCTTAAGTTGAAAGAGAGCATGTAGAATTTTGGTTTTATTTTTGTTATTTTTAAACTGAATCGATTAGATCGTCACATGTTTAATCCTGTTTTTGGTTATTAATATAATTCTTTATTGTTTCAAAAAAATATATACTTTATCAATTCCTATAACTCTTCATTTAAATCAGATGAGTTATATAACTCTATCTCCACTTTTAGTGCTACGACATTTAGGATGATCATAGTATAATAAAATATTATTTTGAGTGTAGTAATGATGAGTGTATCACTTTTTAAAAGGTAAATAAATGTGGTGTTAAGAATTTTCGAATCTATGTTTCTATAATTTGATATTCATGCACATCTCTCCATTGAGATGGCTTAATGAGACAAAATTAAAAAAAAAAAAATTAAGTGAGCTAATTGTATTTTGATTTAAAATAAATACATACACACAATGAGATGGCAAGACACATAATTGTAAAATCTAAATTAGAAGTTCACCGTTGAGAGAGACAAATCTAAAATTTAGAGTTTTTTTTCATCTTGGCCAAGGTAACACATGATTTCCCTAAAAACCTAGTTCTAAATCATAGAATTAAGATTAACCTAGTATTGAATGTCTTCCATAAGTGACCGAAAAAAAATAAATGGCATAAATATAAAAATATATAGTAAGAAATATTGTACATAGTCCATCCCTCTAGAATATTTTTTTGATATTTCTATTAAACAATAATTTGAGTTTTTTATACAGGATGATCCCATCAACCGTAGACAAATTTAAGATTTTATACAGATTTAATTCAAAAATCTTTCACCAAGCATTTTACACGTTTATTTAGTAACCTTTAAATCTATTACAAGTTTGCAAGTAGAATTAAACTCTTAAATAAAAAAAATTCAATACAAAAATATAAAACCATAATTCTCAGGTGAAACTTTTTACTCTTTCAGCATTAAGGCGACTTATGGTGAGAAAGAGTGAGATAGGAGTGATAATTATTAAAAAAAATATGTGTGTATTGAGAAGTGGGAAATCATTCCCTTATGTAGGAAATTATTTTGCCTAAAAAATAATTATCAATGTTACTTGACACTTTCTAATCGGTTAGAACACCAATCTAATTGATTAGGTTGAGTCAGAAAAAAATTCTTAATCAGTTGTATCAATTAATTGATTAACAAGTTTGTCTAATTAATTAAAAAGTATTACTCTTGCTCTAATAAATTAGAAGAAGGACCTATTGATTAGAAATTTGAGTTATCTTTTCTAATTGATTAGAAGTTTTCTTAACTAATTAAGTACTAAATTTTTTAAAGAAAAATATGAAGACATTTTAGTGTTTGTGCATTGTCTTAATAGTGTAAGACTTACTCTTTCGTCATTTATATTTAACGGATCAAATTACAAGAAAAAAATTATTTAACTTAAAATCAAGTGAGTTTTCACAATTTCACGACTTGACTTTCAATTACTTGATTTAACTTTATTTAGTTATTTCAAATGAAAATTGAATACTTGATGTTATATTTGCTTCTTTGATCGATGATGTTTGTGATTTATTCAACATTGTTTAATTTTCACTATAAAAACTATTAGAAAACATTAATTTGCACAACACATATAGAATCATATTTTCCTCGTGTTTGATGATGAGAATATATCTCTCATAAAGATGGTAAAGCAGAAAAATTTATATGAAAAAATTTAGAGTTGTTAAGCACTTTATCTCAGAGATAATATATAATATATATATATATATATATATATATATATATATATATATATATATATATATATATATATATATATATATATATATATATATATATATATATATATATATATATATATATATATATATATATATATATATATATATATATATATATATATATATATATATATATATATATATATATATTCAGCTCTCCTTAAAAGTATACTTCTTTCCCTTTTCTATTATCCAAAAGCTAGAAAACTATAAAGAAATTATAAACAGCACATGGACACATAAATATTAGTAGATGTGAACAATTATATTCTTTATTTAGTTTCATCTTGTTGTGAATTACGATAAAATTCAATATCAATTTATAAGACAAAGAATAATAGCAATCAAAATAAATGATCTTCAGCAATAATGATTCGTACACAAATAATATAACAGAATAAGGCGACCGAAGATTTGTTTATCCACTTCGATCAAATAATCTACTCTGGGGGAGAGAGCAACTCTCTAACTCACTATACTCAGAAAATAGTCTTCGCCTTTGGATTCTGAAAACAACCCTGAAGGCGACTAAGAACAACCACATTTTCTACCCAAGTATTTTCTCATCTCTCCAACTCTCCAACTCTCAATATAGAATCACTCAAACCCAAAGAGTAATCCAAAGTTTTCTTTGTGCATACCTAAAACCCTATGACATACCTTTAAACCCTTGCTCTCTCTTGTTGGTGTAAATCTAAGATTGTCACACACCAAGTATATAAGAGATACATATCTATAATAGAAACTACCCAACAAACAAGACCCAAAATCACATGGATCTATGGACCGAATCGAAAAAAGTCTAAAAATTTGAAAACACTATCCACCATACGGACATCACTATTCATCCGTACGAATATCACTCTTCGCCATACAGACGACACTATTGACCAACCAATTTTGTTTCTCGACTTTTCGTCTAACTTTCTAAAACTTCCGATTTTTGCGGTAAATAAAATCTTTAAAATATGTTCTATTTCTTTTTATCAACAAAGATTTTAAGACACATTTACAATATATATATATATATATATATATATATATATATATATATATATATATATATATATATATATATATATATATATATATATATATATATATATATATATATATATATATAGAGAGAGAGAGAATTGTTAAATTATTCTAATACTTATATGACCGTTAAATTATATTCAATTTAAATGTTATAATTTAAAATAAATTATAAAAAATTATTCTTAAAGTAAATCGACACCATTATATATATACATTCGGTGTTTCCATTAATTATATCGTGTATGAAGGAGTTGGTTGGAATTGATGGATGTGGCCATTGTTTTAGTGACAAAGCACTTGCACTTAACTAATTATATGTGATAAATAAATAAAAACTCATTATAATCAGATTACAACGTGTTATATATGTTTATAAAAATCACGCATGCTATTATTGTTTCTAAGCATACCATGTGTCCTTCATTCATATACTTAGAACTCAATAGATCTTTCATTTCTATTGTCACACAAAAGCTTTTCCTCTGATAAACTTAATGCGTTCTTTAATTAGATATTACGGGTAAGATTGAATAGAGTTGCCGGTTGTCAACAAATTTAGAATATGATAAACCTAATTCAATTTTATTTAAATTAAATGGATCTGGATTTGATTAATAGAAAATCTTGGAGAAAGTTTCATTATATAGTCAAAGAAATTAGACAAACTATGGTTCTGTATGTTGCGGTGTTTGTTTAAAATGGTTTTTATAATATTATATATTTTTGTTGGAAAAAAATTATGAATAATTTCTTTTAAAAGACTTTAAATAAAAATTTAATTTAAATAGTCATTTTTAAAATGTTATTTAAATACATTAATTTAAAAAATTGTAATTTTAATTATCTTTTAATATTTAATAATATATATATATTAATGTTATAAAAAATAAATCTCTTAAGTTATAAAAATGAATTAAAAAATTATAATATTTTAAAAGAAAATTATAAAAATTATTTTTAAAAATATAAAAAAAATCATTTTTTTAAAGTTAAAACTATCATCAATAAAAAAACTATGATTTCTAAAGAAAAATAAAAATAAAAATTTAGCCTATACACTTCCTCTTATTTGATTTGCGAGATGCATAGTCTCTAATTAGATGAATTTTATGCGTACAATTTAATGGATAATTATAATTTTATAACAATGATTGATGTTTTTTAAGCAGAGACTAAAATAAAAATTTTATTTTTTATGTGCATGATTTTTTTCTTTATAAAACTATTTATAAAAAAAAAATGATTATGTCAATAATTAATGACTAAAAGTGAAAGGGATAAACACCAGGGCACCCCAAAGGATAAAGTTCTATTGAATTGTATAAATGGATTTGGTCTGCTGGGGGATATGAATGTCTCAAAAATGTTGGTCGATGGTGATCCATGCTAGCAGCGTGGAATGTACGGGGGGGGGCTAAACAACGCGGGCAAGCTTAGGGAGATTCGCTCTCGTCTCCTAGAACTTCGTCCAAACATTATAGCGTTACTAGAAACTCGTGTCAAAGTGAAAAATGTGGTTGCTGTCCAGAATAAGCTCATGCTGCGGGGAAGCTATGCAGATAACTACCAACATCATGCTAACGGTAGGGTATGGTTGTATTGGGATTCAAATGAAGTTGATGTAAAAATTGTTACTTCTTCTAGTCAATTCATCCACTGTGGTATTCATGACATGGCTGGGAATTTATTATTTTAGTTAACTGCTGTATATGCCTTGAATCGACTCGAGCAACGTCGCGTATTATGGAAAGACATTGCTATCATTCACGCACAACAATAAGGCCCGTGGATTTTGATGGGTGACTTCAACAATGTCATCCATAGCAATGACAGGATTGGTGGAAATGATGTGACAGAAACAGAATATACCGACATATGTAGCATGATGGACAATGTTGGATTATTTGAGACGGAAAGTAAGGGAAGCTACTATACATGGTCAAATAATCACACTGCAGGTACAATCTGTTCTCGTATTGATCATGTGCTTGCAAATGTTGAATGGCTCCAACAGCATACTGATATTACTCTCCATATTTTACCTCCAAGTGTTTCGGATCACTCGTTATTACTCATGACAGGTACTGCAAATGTACACAACCGGTATAGAAAACCAATCTTCAAATCCTACAACTGTATTATGGATTTTGAAGGATATAGTGCACTGGTAGAGAAAAATTGGAACATCCCAATCGCAGGAAATCCAATGTTTATCTTGTGGAACAAGCTTATGCGATTACAACCGGCTTTGCGTAATTTCAGTAAACCAGCCCGGCATAATGACCAGCAGCTTATTCAAGCTAGAAACCGACTTAACACAGCACAATCCTCCCTTGAGGCCGACCCGATGAATGCTACGATATTAACTCGAATTAAGGAGCAGAAACTAGAGATTCTAAAACTAGAGGAACTAGAGAAAAATATACTGAGACAGAAATCAAAACTGGATTGGCTTAAGTGGGGTGATGGCAACAACTCGTACTTCCACGCATCCGTAAAATCCAAAAACAATTCAAAGAACATATCACACCTCACCAAAGAGGATGGCACAGTATTGACAGTACAAGCTGATATTGAAAATGAAGTCTTAGATTATTATAAGAACTTGTTAGGCACTGCTGACAGCACAATTCGTCATATTGATGTCGCCGCCATGAGAGATGGACCACAGTTAAACATGGATCAACGACTGTCCCTCTTGGCACCTATAACAGAACAGGAAATTCATACGGCACTTAAAGGTATTAGGGACTTGAAATCACCGAGAATTGATGGTTACGGAGCCTGTTTCTTCAAAGGTAGCTGGGAAACCATTAAATTTGATGTGGTAACAGCAGTACAAGATTTTTTCCGCCATGATCGCCTATTTAAAGCATTTAACGGTATTGTGGTGACGCTTATTCCGAAACACTATGACGCTCAATCCATTAAAGACTACAGGCCAATAGCAGGGTGTACCACTGTCTATAAAATAATCTCAAAAATACTTACTACAAGATTGGGTAATGTTATAGGTGATATTGTCCATAATTCGCAAGCTGCATTTGTACCGGGTCAACAGATCCACAATCACATCCTACTAGCGTATGAACTTATTAAGGGGTATACCAGGAAAGGAGGCACCCCGCGATGTATGCTTCAAATTGATCTTCAAAAAGCTTATGATATGGTAAATTGGGATGCTCTGGAGTGTATTATGAAGGAAATTGGAATTCCAACCCAATTTAGTAGATGGATAATGATTACTGTCACTTCTGTTACTTATAAATTCAACATTAACGAGTATCATACAAAAACTATCCAAGCGAAGCGGGGACTCAGGCAAGGGGACCCTATCTCCCCTATATTATTTGTTATTATAATGGAATATCTCAATAGGTGCTTTCGCAAAATGCAGAAGAATCCCAATTTCAACCATCACGCTAAGTGTGAGAAATTACATATTACTAATCTCTCTTTTGCAGATGATCTACTGCTTTTTTCTAGAGGAGACTGTATGTCGGTGGAGCTGCTTATGGAGGCTTTTAACGGTTTCTCGGATTCCACTGGTCTCAAATTAAACCCGGCAAAATGCAAAATCTATTTTGGTGGGGTGGATGCGGATACAAAGCAGAACATCATTAACATTACCAATTTCCGGGAGGGTCCTTTCCCCTTCAGGTATCTGGGAGTCCCTCTAACCTCTAAAAAATTATCTATCCATCACTATATGCCGTTGATTGACAAGATTATGAGTCGAATTAATCATTGGAGTGCTAAACTCCTTAGTTATGCAGGGCATGCCCAGCTTATAAAAAGTGTTACTTTTGCCATTGCGAACTACTGGATGCAATGCTTGCCTATTCCTAGATCTGTTATTCATAAAATTGAAGCTATGTGTAGATCTTTCATGTGGACAGGTGGAGCTGATATTAGTAGGAAGAGCCCTATTGCATGGGACAATGTCTGTAGACCTCTGAATTATGGAGGCTTGGGTATCATTGATCTTAAGATCTGAAATAAATTACCATGATTAAACTACTCTAGAACCTTAGTAGTAAAACTGACAGCTTGTGGGTTAAATGGGTTCATAGTTATTATTTAAAGCATGAGGGGTTGATGAATGTCAGTATAAAACCCCACACCTCATGGATTATGAGGACTATCCTAAAACAGAGGGATAGCTTGGTGGATATTCAACAGGTTTGGAATCGCATGTTAACTAGTGATAAGTTTAGGATGACTGATATTTATCTGGCAATCTGTAGTAATGCCCCCAAAGTAATGTGGAAGAACATACTCCGAAATAATGTTGCTCGACCAAGGGCTCTGATAACGATGTGGTTTGCGTGTCACGGAAGATTGGCTACTAAACAACGCCTTTTTCGATTTGGTATGATCACTGATGATAGATGTTGTCTGTGTACTAAAGAGGAGGAAACCATTAATCATATATTATTCTACTGTCCTGAAACGGTGCATATATGGACCAAGGTCCTAGATTGGATCCAGATTCCGCATGTCCCGCGACCGTGGGATGAAGAAATGGACTGGGTGTGCAAGAGCACGAGCGGTAAGGGCTGGCGAGCGTCCCTCCTGAAACTGGCTATAACGGAAACGGTTTATGGTATTTGGCAATACCGTAATGACATTTGTTACGGTAATATTATAGATAAGATAAAAATTGGTGATAATATTATGGATATGATTGTTTATAGGGGATGGTATAACCAGAAACTCAGGCCGCACATTGCTCACTTGATGACTTATTAGTGCTTTTTGTACTTTTCTTTTGGTCTTTATGTCTTTTCTGAGGGCAGGATCCTCGCGATCGCCTTGTACTTGTAATGCTTTTTTGAATTAATTCAATCTTCCTTTGATTCAAAAAAATAATTAATGTAAATATACTTTTAATATGTCTTATGATAATATGAACATTTAATCGGTCACTCCTCAATTAAATTTAGCATCACACATATTTTTATAATTTTTCAATTGTTTATAGATAAATTTGAGTCAAAAGTGTCAATGAAATTTTTGGTAGTTCATTTAAAATTTGTAATAATATACTAAATTTCTGATAGTTCATTTTTAAATTGTTGATATAAATTTTTTATTAATTTTTTAAAAAAGTGTTATAGTTTATTGAAAATTTCGAAATAATGTTTTACTAGAAATTTCCATAAGTGTGGTAGTTTACTAAAAATATCGAAATTTCCGATAGTATAAAATAATTTTTAAAAATTGTTTAAAATTTTTTTTCTTCAAAAATTCTAATATTTTTTCAAATTTTATCCGAAAATCATTAATTTTTTATTAAAAAATTCTGATATTTTTTCAAAAATTCAAGTAAACACAATAGAAAATCTCCAAAATAAATTAGTAAAAGCACAAAAGTAATGGTTTAATTGGAGGGATGGTATGTTAAATCCTTTGATAATAAGAGTCGTGTAAAAGGCCAAAGATACTTGTAGGGTTTTACTGGGCCATGTAAAATAATAAGCACTACAAAGTTGCTAGTTTATTGTGGAAAATTGGATTTCATACCCCCTTGACTTTGGTCATATACTCCCTTGAAAAATATGTTATTCTCTAAATATTAATTATCGGAAAAAATTGACCCAGGATTCTACAACTACTATTAATTAGGACTAATCATCAAATTAAGAAAGAGAAAATATGAACAAAATTGAAATTCTCTATAACATATTAGAAAATCTCTTAAGTGAAAAAGCTAATTTACGGGCATGTAATCGATTATAATTTTAGTTAAAAATTGACTGAATAATTAAGTGTAACTGGTCGGTTGACATAATATATCCAGGTCCGGTCTATGGACAAGACAAGTGAGGCCTTTTTCAAGAGATTCAATTTTTTTATCTATTAATATTTTAATTTTCAAGGGCTTCAATTTTTTTTACTATTAATATTTTAATTTACCTTGCACCTCATCAAATTTGTAACGCACTAAATAGATACAAACAATCATGTGCTTCCTTTCTTGCCTCTTTCTCATCTCTCATTATATTTTTCGAAAGAAAAAAAAAAAATATTATCAAAAAAGAATTGTAACAAAAACAACAAAAGCAAAATTAAACAAACACTAAAAAAAAACAAGTTTTTTTTAATTAAAAATTTTATTGTTAATTTTTTTTACTTTTAATAATTTTATTTGTTTTATTTTATTATTGATTTATTTGTTTAATATTAGTGTCACTTGTAAAATATTTATTATTTTATTTTAGAATAGAAGAATACTAACTCAAAATTTGAATCTAAAAATTTAAAATTAAAGAAAAAAAAAGAATTAAATCTTTAGTTTGGCACAAAAGGGAATTTTAGGTAAATTTATTAAAACAAACAAAAAAGTAAATTTGAAAATTTAGACGACTATTCATTAAATGAATAAGTTAACAACAATGTACATATGTAGAAGTTATGCACGAAAATGAAAATGTAGATTTAGTAGAAAAAATTAATAATATAGATGAAGTAAAAACTTAGATAACAATGAAATACAATAATAATTTATTAATAGAAGAACTTGATAGCGTAGACATCGCTAAAAATATGAGAGAGAGAGAGAGAGAGAGAGAGAGAGAGAGAGAGAGAGAGAGAGAGAGAGAGAGAGAGAGAGAGAGAGAGAGAGAGAGAGAGAGAGAGAGAGAGAAGAGAGAGAGAGAGAGAGAGAGAGAGAGAGAGAGAGAGAGAGAGAGAGAGAGAGAGAGAGAGAGAGAGAGAGAGAGAGAGAGAGAGAGAGAGAGAGAGAGAGAGAGAGAGAGAGAGAGAGAGAGGATATCTTATGAATAAAAGAATCCACATTTTTCATCCTCAATTATCACACACTCTTTCACTCTCTCCCGCTCCACACTCAATTATTCATCAATTTTATGGTTTCAAGTTCTAATATTTGGCATCAAGAGTCAGGTTGCAATCCATCAAACACCTAGTGTGCAAACATGACTTCTATCTCCAATGAAAGAATTCCTACAAATTTACCTATCCTTGATGCGAATAATTATGATAAGTGGTGAAAACAAATGTAGGTGATGTTTAGGTGATGTTTGGCTATCAAGATGTTCTTGGAGTGATCAAGAACGAGGTAACTACACTTGTAAAAGGTGCAACATGCACAACAGTCTAAGCATAAGGAAGAGAAGACAAAAGATTTCAAGGTGTTGTTTTCGATCCATCAATGTGTTGATGCAGATAGTTTTGAGAAAGTTGATGATTGAGAATCATCGAAGAAAGCGTGAGAAATCTTGGAAAGGCATATGCAGGAGTTGACAAGGCAAAGGTTGTAGGGTTACAAACTCACAAAAGACAACTTGAGTTGATTCAAATGGAGGAGAAAGAGACCATCAATGATTTTACGACAAAAATTACTCTATTTGTGAACCAAGTAAAAGCGTGTGAAGAAACAATCATAGAGTAGTATGTTATTGCAAAAATCTTGTGTTCTTTAACTCCAAGATTTGACAATGTGGTGGTTGTGGTTGATGAATCGAAGGATCTTGGGTCGATGAGCAAAGAGGAGCTGAAGAGCTCTCTTGAAGCGCATGAGCCGAGAATATTGGAAAAGGAATGTTGATAACGCAAACACGGGGAAAGCTTTACAAGCCTATTTCAATGAGAGAAACAACAAGGTGAATGGAAAAGTGGCACATGAGAAAAGGTAGAGGGAACTTTTAGAATTTTGGTGGAAGAGAGTCCCAAAATTCCAAGAATTCAACATTCAAAAAGGGTGAAAACTGTGGCAATAGGGCTGCTAGATCAAGCAACTCTAGAAAAAGAAATCTAAGAGGTAGATGGGGAAAAAGGATGATTGACAAGAGCAGTGTGCAATACTATAATTGTTAAAAGCTTGGCCATTTTGTAAGAGAGTGCAACAAGAAAGAACCTCAAGAAAATGAAGCTAGAGTTACAAGGAAAGAGTTTGATGATGAGAACACACTCTTGGTCATGATCATAGAAGGAAAATGTGGTAGCAACAGGTAGCAAGGCAGCAACAGCTTGAAAAACACTACAAAACTAAATTATAATCGGTTGTAGGTTTATACCAACCAGTTACATGCTGAAGAAAACAATGTGGTTACTTTGAAAGAAGCAGTGTAGTGCAACGATCAATGGTATTTAAACTTCGGGTGTTCAACGCGTATGACGAGAAGGAAAGGTTAGTTTGTTACAATCAAGCATTCCATGAAAACCAAGGTTACATCTGCAGCTGATGCCAATCTAGCAGCAGAAGGGATCAGTGATGTATCAATCGAGATAAAGGATTGTAGACATTCTTTAGTAAAGGATGTGTTTTGTATTCTTAGAATCAAGTTTAATCTTCTAAGTATCAACCAATTACATGAGAAGGATTATAAGATTCATATGGAGAATAAGGAGATATGCGTTATGGACGCAAACAAGGTTGTGGTCCTAAAGGCTCCTAATAGAAATTTCAAAGTTGAGTTGAAGGTTATGGAACATACATGTCATGCTATAATGGCTAGTCGATAAGAGTGGATCTGACACTATACGCTTGGGCATCTTAATTTATGAGATCTCAATGCCTTACAAAGAACAGAATGATGACGGGGCTGCCATTGATCTCAATATCGGTGAAATTTGTGAAGAGTATGTGCAAGCAAAGCAACAACAGGGAAAATTCAGCAATAATGCGGGTTGTAGAACCAAATTCACCTTCAGGTTGTGTATTCGAATATGTGTGAACCGATGCAAGTTGACTTCATCAGTGACAATATATATATTTGTCACATTCATTGATAATCATAGTATAAAACTATGGATGTACCTAATTGATCGGTCATAATTTCTACTATGTTTCTGTCACTTATTCGGCATTTCATCCACGAATCGGTAATATTTTGTTAAGTATTTTTATCGTTTTTGAGTAAATCTGACCGTTCTTATTCCATTCTTGTAATTTATATTTTCAGGTGTTATTTCAATTTTTTTGCATTATACATGTTTGTTTGTTAGTTTTGATGATTTAAGGTCTATGTGGAAAATCCAAAAGACTCATGTGAAGAAAATGGAAATTCCAGAAAGTTGAAGGAGTTTTTAGAAGAGAGACAATGGCCTGACACGGCACCCGTGTCACCTGACACGGGCCGTGTCAGGAGGAACCCAAGAGAAGAAGTTTTAGTTGATGGGCAGTGGGATGACATGGGTGCCCGTGTCACCAGACACGATCAGTGTGAGCAAGTCTGAGGTATGTCATCTTTTCAACTGAGATCCAGGGGGCCAACACGACCGTCCGTATCAGCTGACACGACCCGTGTTGGCTTGGCCGTGTCAACTTCCAATTTTATTATTTTTATGATCTTTGTGATTCATGAGGGTATTTTGGATATTTCCATACTGCTGTGTTAGACCTTGTAGTATTTTAGACGCGTTATAGAAGGAAAAAGAGACTTTTTGACTACGGAGAAATATTACGATCAAGATTGGAGCGATCAGGAGAAGTCGGTAACAGAAGATTTTCACGAGCCTTTGCAATTGAAGATCAAAGTAACTATTATTCTTGTAATGTTTAATATGATTATGATTGTATTTTCTCTGAATATTATGAGTATCTAAACCCCCAATGTTAGGGGGTGTCCCTGAATTGATTTTGTAATCATATTGTTCTTCTTGTTTCAATGACATAAGTGCTTATTTTCATAATCAATTTTTATCATTCAATGTTCTTAATGTTTTTTCAATCGAAAAAATCGAATTAGATTTACAATTAACTTTAGGTCGGACAAACCTTCATTAAT